AAAACTAGTTGATTCTTTCCTGATACAACTTTGTAATATACAGAATTTCCACAGTCACTTTAAATTTAACAACCTTTATAACACACATGTAAATCACAGTGGTTCACACAATTTACTTACGGTGTCTACAGTTCGCTTGATTCAATTATCTCTATCTTCAGTCTATCTGCCTATCTCTGCAATTCTATCTTTTTTCGCTGGCTTTATATGCTGGGCTTATATAATAAAAAAGAGGACGCCTGGAATAAACTAGAGTTGCCAAGAAAATTCATGATCCTTCTAGAAACTCCAGCGTGCCTGCTCCCAGCGTCGCGTGAATTCCGCTGTCGTAACAATATAAAGCAAAGTCTGTGTGTCCGGAAAATATGCACGGTCGTATATCAATCATTTTGTATTTGTTCCTTATACGTTTTCACATTTCTTTATCAATCAGCACCAAATTTTGTCACAGTAATATAGTATGAAGTGAGAAAGGTTATAAGGGGGATTTGAACTCCCCATCTAATTTCATATTGATAGAATTCTTTAAAACAGTGTGTTTTTATTTTCAGTATTAGTACCTTTATGTGTTTTCATTAGATTTTTAGTGTTTATCATGTTAAGCAGAAAATATAAAAGCACAATTTTCTATCCTTTAGTTATGTTGCGTCAGAGAAGTCACGTGACTATCACGCCACGTCCCTCTAGAAATATCCTGTTCCTTCATAAATGATCTAGCGTTTACTAAATATGTGTTAGTCTTGTATATATATAAGATGGTCACAACGTGACGGAACAATGTGTGCATAGTTGAACTAAGTATTGTTGAGCACGAGAACGTGAGACGTTCGTTGAAAATTATAGCGTTTGTTATAGAGCGACTGTTGAAATTAAATGTAACGTAAAGTTGTATTCGGAAAGAATAAACCAGTTTTATTTAAGAAAGGACTTGTGTCGCTAAAGTTTCGTCGGAACGAATTTACGGAAAATTAACTAACGAACGGAGACGTAACAAATTGGTGTCAGAAGTGGAATAAAAAAATGGAAACGAGAGGCAGAAAATCAAACTACAGCTTAGCACACTTGATGGCAGCAATACAAGAGCAGCAAAAGAAACAAGAAGAACGAGAAAATAAACAAGAAAAGAAACAGGAAGAGAGATTACAGCATTTGCAAGAAAACTTGCAACAGTGGCAGCTCGAACAGCAAAATAAACAAGAAGAGAGGTTGCAGCAGTTGTTGGAGGAAAAAGAAAAGAAACAAGAAGAGAGACAAAAGCAGTGGCAAGAAAACCTGCAACAGTGGCAGCTTGAACAACAAAATAAACAAGAGAGATTACAGCAGTGGTTGGAGGACAAAGAAAATAAACAAGAAGAGAAATTACAGCAGTTGTTGGAGGAAAAAAGAAACAAGAAGAGAGACTACAGCAGTGGCAACTGGAACAAGAAAGAAAACAAGAAGTACAAACGGAAAACATTAGTAAGCTTAAAAGCGAATTAGATGCATTAAAGGACGATTTATTGTCTTTTACACAAGGAGGATACATTAACCATCGACTTAATCAGCTCCAGACAATGACAAGCCCCTTCCAGACCCTGCAGCTAAACCCTAATGCACACATCTTCAGCCCTGTTAGAAGTCACATCCTAGATATGAATGTCAATACTAGGAGTGATCCAGTACAAAGGAAGCCACAGGAATATGATGG